CACACAAGTATTGGTACGAAGGAGCATGAGATATGTATACGCCACACAATAAAAATGAGAATGTGTAGATATAAAAGATGTAAGATGCGTATAAGAAAAAAGAAGTACAACAATGAACAGAAATTAGTGTATGATAGTGAAATAACAATAATGGGAGGGGCAGTTCAATTAGAAAAGTACGGCCTCAGATAATACTTTCACTTAATGAAGTTATGTCATTTGTATGAAGAAAGTAAATTAAGTTTACAGCAGGATCACAAATGGCTTCCATTCCGAGCCATTTCTCATAACATATCTAGCCACTGTGTTACACCATCTCCAGGACCCCAACCAGGGAGTCGTGAAGGAAAAACATAGGCAGTCCTGTACAGCTTTCTTTCATACCACGACACAATGTCATACACTGACCACCTCTCCGCTCCTTCCAACCAGTCCCAGAGTCGGCAAATAATGCACGACGTGGAATTCTCTGGGACGACATTCGGAGAACATGTCCAAGCCACCGAAGTCAATGTTTCAAGATAATGACAGCAATAGACTTATCGTCTCTGTGCCCGAACACACGATGCTGAACCTCTGCATTACTGACATGGTGTTGCCACTGAATGTCAGCAATCCTTCGGAGACAACGATGATAACACATATAGTTGTTTAACATCCTCAACTCGGAAAGGCCAGGTTTCACAAGCACAGAGCAAAACTGCTCTCACCAACGCGCTGTAAATCCGGCCTTGTACAGCCAAAGGTGGCCCAGATTGGCATAAGCCGCTCTGGCTTTCACTATACGTGCACTGATCTCATCACTCACGCCACCACCAGCACTTATGCAGCTACCCAGATACACGATCTTTGCGACTACTTCTATCTGCTCACAACCAGGGTGATTACAGGATTAGAATCCTGCCAGTCTTGTAGAAGTACTTTGTACATCGAAGGTGTAAAGCAAATACCGAACCTACGGACACTGATTGCCAACTGATTACGTGAGGATTGCATGGCTTGGGCATTATCGCACAGTAAGACAATATCATCCGCATACTCAAGGTCGAGAAGTCTTTCTCCAGACAACAGGTCCACACCGCCATCACTTACATCCATCAGGGCTGTTTCCAGAATGTCATCGATGGCAAAGTTGAGGAGGAATGGTGAGATTGGGCGACCCCACTTCGTAAATGGAACAATGGAGAGAGGTGGTTGTATGCCCTCACTCTGCCTGAGGTGTTTGTATATAGGGCTTTTCGGATGTTAATAAACTTCTCAGACACACCCTTCTTCAATAGACAATCCCAGAGAACGGTCCTGGCCAGCGAATTGAAGGCAACCCTGATGTCAAGAAACACTACGATTGTTGGCCTTTGATAAGTATGACGGTGTTCTAACATTTGTCGGAGGGTGAAGATATGATCAATACATCCTCGACCATAACGAAAACCAGTCTGCTCCTCGCGAGCCAACCTTTCTCGAATTTCGAACAATCTACAAAGTATGACGTAAGCCAATAATTTGGACGCGATCTAGAGTAGATTCATCCCTCGACGATTTTTGCTGAAACGACGTGAACATTTTTAAAGATAGAGACAACTATCAACTCATTCCACGAAGTTGGAAAACACTAGTACGAAAACGTTTGCAAATAACTCAGTTCCTTAACCTGAAGGTCATCACCACCTATAAAGTGGCCGGAGGTAAGTCATCCGGGCCACGTGATTTGTAGCGCTTCAAGAGTTGCAGTTCCTTGCGGACTGCCACCTCATTTGATGGATCAGTCCTCACGAGCCATGGAGGGCAGGACAGTCTAATCGATGTTGCCGAGAGAGCAGACCAATTGAACTGCCACTCGAAGAGCTTTGTCCATCGTCCTAAACGTCGATAGATGTTAGTGACTGGCATCCCCTTATCCCCACAGATTGTTTCGCTCACACCACTTTCTTGCTGCCAGTGGCTCGGATGAGTTGGAAGAGCTTCGGGTAGTTACCGGGTGCAGCTGCTGCTTCCAACTCATTGGCAGGCCCCGACCACCAGGCTTCTCGGCCCTTACTCAAGCTATGTCCAATTTCATTACGTAACTGTCGTCATTTGTGGTCAAACTCACGGTCACCCGGAGTAGACCGACGGGTTTCAATGACTTGTAGGAGCCTAAAGAAACCCAGTGCTTATAAGCGGGACGTTTCGCGAAGCCGCAAGCGTCATGCAATCGCAACCGATGCTCATCCGTACTTTTCAGTGGTATGCCAACTAGCCCAGAACCTAGTTCGGTTTGATATTCAGTTGCAACCAATTTACTGACATCGATCAGTTTAGGACGATGAATCTGTTGGCCACTGAAAAGTAAGGCAAGATTTTTGCAAACAAGGGTGTGATCAGAGTCCAGATACATATACCAAGAGGAGCCGCAGCCTGGTACACAACCACGCCAGCGGTAGCTGATCGCGATGTGATCAATCTGAGTCCAGGCTTGATATGCAGAGGAAGGAAGCCAGGTGGTACATCGGCGATGACTGTGCTGGTAGTTATTACTAGCCAGAAACAGGTTGTGGTCTGTGCACAGTTGCAGTAGACGGTCTCCGTTATCTGACCTGCGACCAACAAGTCCCCATCGGCCACCTAAACGACTCTCTTCTGTGCCTAGACGCCCGACCTGAGCATTCAAGTCTCCGGCTAGTACTACAATATCTGTCGAACGCACTTTCTGGAGAAGAACAGATAACTGGTGATAAAACTCATCCTTGATTGCATCCGGACTACAATCTGTCGGGGCATAGGAGGAGATGACGAAAAGACATCGTTTCTCACGCCGATTTCTTCTCACTTTGATGGAAATTTCTAATCTAACAGCACATAACCGACTGTTAATGGAGATCCAATCGATCAGTACTTTCTCAAGTCTAACGTTTTGTGTGATACCAACGCAAGCAAGGCCAGAAGATGGCACACGGTCCCCGGATATATGCACGTGAAACAAGCTTTACGAAGCGACAAACGGAGAGCGAATTTGTATTACTTCACTAGTCTTGAATATGGGTGTCGGATAGACAACAGATGTCGATATTAAAACTTTCTGAAGGCCTAGCCAACCCTATTTGTTGTCTGATCTGCATTAGGGTCAGAAAAATGAAGGAAGCCAGTTTGAATGGTATACGTCGTTTTAGAAAGACTGTTTCAGTATTCGCAATCGGTGGAAGCATTCAACTTTCGAAAAGTCAGTAACTCGAGATCGTTTAGACAGAACAGGGTTTCTTCAATAAGCGAGTTGCTGTATAAACTGAAATATAAGGATACACAATGTGGAATAAAAGATTAGATAAGTGACGTAGTATATGAAAGAAAAAGTATGTTATTAAATGGATGTGAGTTATCTGGATTTTAATTGGATCAAGAACTGTATTTCCAGTAATTACTGTCATTTCCTTTTATTTGTGTGTGGGCTGATACTGCCGGGGGCCCAGACCGAAGCAGGTGGTTTCCCTATGGGGCCACATGCCGAGCCTTTGCCATAATAATCTAACATACAAGGCAGTGGAGCAACGTCAGGATATGCAGTCCAATGGTAACCGGTGACCAACAATAGGTTCACACGCCATTTGTTTTTCTGGGATAGTGGGGCTCATTGTTTGGAACTAGGGTTTTCCAAATCCCCTATGTGGACCCTCCGTGTCCACCAACCCGGTTAAAGGGCCGAACATCCGCTTCCTATACTCTCAACAGCACTCCCGCTGAGAGATGGCAGTGAGTAGGACTTCCCTGTTAGTGGCTATATACGCGTGGCCATGTGAGAGCATTTCGAGAGGGAGAGCTTACTCTCCCCACTCTCGGCCGTACCATGACACTTGCGGCTACTTATACCACTCAAGAACATGATCTAACAACCTCGATCAATACAATTCCGTTATATGATAGGGGAACTCATTCATTTTACTCAGACCTATATGGTTAACTCTAAAATAGTTCACCTGTAGCTTCGACAAAAAGTTGACAATGCTTCCAATATATATTTAACTTAAACATATTTTGCAGCGTTAATAACTACGCCTCAGATGCAGAATATTATGGAATAAAAGGAATGGATTCATACAATGTTTAATGCCATTTTACAAGCATGTAGATCTAGCGATTAGTGATGGAGATCCATTTCAGCAACATCTGCAAAATATTCACAAAATTAACAATCAAGGTAAATACAAAAAATACAACCACTCTTGAAATTTAAGAATAGCGAGACAACCATTTATCATTATTAAACTAGTGGTAAATTTGTTTACGAACAAAAACATTAATTTTGGAGAACGCTTCTTTGACACAACTTATGATTATCATATTCTTGCTTGTTTTCTCTAAATTTCATTTCCATTGACCATTTTATGTGGATAGCACTGTATACAGACGAACATATGATAACGCAAAGTAATTATATTATTCTATCCTCTTCCCTTTCAATTAGCTCAACACACGCGATTCATTATCAAATGCGAATGTCGCGCTCAATGCTTACAATCAAACACATACAACCACCGACATCCAATTCGAAAGCGCTGTATCCGACGTTGCAGAAAACGTTTTGGACTAAATAATCCAAACCCGAAACAGACTAAATGAAAACCAATATTCGGAGGACAAAGACGAAGATATTGTAGAGAACTAGTTTTCCATTTTGACAGTTATCAACATACATGATAAATTCTCAAACGATAAATTCTTTAAAACAGATAGACATTTAAGTGCTTCTGAAAAACCTAACGTAATGAAGTTCCTCTTTTCCAAAAATTAGAAATTAAAGCTACCAAGATTTACTTTAGATAATATTATACCTGAGCTACATGTAGTGTATCTGTAACACGAATCTAAAAGTGTAACAACAGTGATATCTCAATAACCTAAATTCAAGGTGTGAACATTAATTGTTATTAAATTAATTATACTACTTTTTACTAACAAATAGTATGACTGTCGTTTAACAAGTTACAGAGCAGAAAACATGAGACTTCGTTGTGTTATTTTATTTTGAGTAGAAAACAAATAGAAACACATTTGAATTTATTGATTTGGAAGACATGAGAAGGACAACGATAAGGTACAAACAGAATGAATTTATGGTGAGAACAATAAACTTTTGTAGGATCTTTACTGCTTCAGTTTCAGAAAGTTGACCGTCACCCCAACAGCAATCTTAACTCCAAACTAAATATTTTCATGTCATACTATGTAGGATGTATTCACTAAAAAACTAAAAATTTCCAGTTCGAAAATATCTAGTGGTAAATAAAATATTCTACAATTGAGACTTGAAAAGTCACTGTATTCAGTTAGCTTTAAGTATACAGCAGTGAGTAATTTGAGAACCATTTCAATCATGCACTGACAAACTGAAGGAATACCGTGTTCGCAAGTGTTGAAACAAGTAGGAAATGGCAGAATAATTACATATAATTATCATCCACACCATTCATATGTAAACATGAACCAATCATAGAATAGATTCCCTCAACGAATTTGAATAAATCCAGGACGATAACTGAAGCAGAACAATATAATTTCACTACATATTGTGATTTCATTAACTTTGAAGCAGAATAAAAACATTTACTTATGAGTTATATTTTGCTTGATATTTCCACCGTTTTTGTGTGTTCAGTAAAAAAAATGCTGTGGAAATCCATTTTTCCGTTAAAAATTGTTCAAGCCTCTTCTTTGAAAAGAATCTACGAATATGGGTTGGTAAAATCGCTCGCCTGGAGCATCTTGGACAAGTGTTATAAATACCTTTGTGATACACCTTTTTAGCTTATTATTTTTATCCCCGAGATCTAGAAAGCGGAACTTTATTAAATAAGAAATTCTACTTCATAATGTGCTTCAGTGAAAAAATTAAGTACACACGTGGGATGTCCAACATGATTAGACGTAAAAAATGTATTACTAAAATAACTACAGTAGAATGTTGTCTTATAAATTTTGTTCTTTATCTGTGTTTGTCCAATATTTCTCATCAAGACATTATCCTTTAATATGATTTAATTTGTAAGCAACTGCGTTCGTCCACGAGACATAACGACTTATAAGAAAGGAAACCAATATCGATTGAGACGAATTTCCGTCGCATTAAATTGTTCGGTGTGAACTATGCTCATGGAATTCTAATACACTTTTACTATGATTTCCACTATATGACAAAAAAGTCAGTACATAAATTCTAACCATTATACTTGATATACAAAAGATCAATTTAAGTGTGTTTTTAATTGATACATTGAGGTTATGATCAAAAAGCTCCAACTACTTAACTGATCCTCTTGACTCTAGTTAGCACGATAAGAAAGAAGAGGATAGAAGTAATGCTGCTGACTGTAATGAAGTCGGAGTTGAGAAATATTAACATAGTGTACAAATAAAAAAGCTTTTGAATACTAACAATAATAATAATCTAATAACATAATTCATATACTGTCTTTAAAATCTCTTTTACAAAAGGAAGTGTTAAAATACAGGAATAGATTTAAATGAATCTGAATTACCTTCAGCTTGATTAACATTAAAACATGAATTTTCTGCTTTTAAAACATGTTTTATGAAAGTCTCAAAATATTCAATTGAAGACCTTAAAGAGGTATTCTTAAATGATAATAAATGTCTATCATTGGATGAAATATTTTCATCATTGTTACCACAATCATGATCATTATTTGTTACAGAAGAAAGCTGTTCTACAAGTTCATTTAATGTTGGTACATTAAATGGATCAAGTTTATCGACTTCTTGTGGATTAAATGGTATACATATATAACCAGTTTTCGGATGCACACAAAATGGACTCTTCAGTAAATGATTAAGACCTATAAGGAATGACGGATAATAGAAACCCAATAAGATAAAAAACAATAAAGTGGAAAATATCTCCAAATATTAAAACTTATTTAAAATTACCTTGAATTAAAATGTTTTTGATAGTTCTAAGTTCTCTGAGTTAAGTGGTTTGGTTGAGAAATCTTCGATGTTATCCTTGACAGTATCAATAGTCTCTAATTCTAGTATAAATTGGCTTTTTGATTAAATCGCAAGCACTATGTCAGTTCTTTCTGATGATTTTATTTATGACTTATCGTATTCCTAGGAGTTATTATTTTTTACCTACTCACTATGTTGCCACTGTTTTGCTGTGTTGATCTCTAATCGTGTAATCCCATTTATGTTGATGTGTTTATCGATTCAAATACGGACAAAATGGTCGCTGGAATTATTGGACTTACCTCGATTCAGTATTTTGACATTTTCTTCATTAAATGTAGGTGATCGGGCTTGCCCATCTTGGTGACTTAACCGAGCTACATTGACTGGAACACATGTCTCTTTGGGTCCTACCAGGTCAGACAGGTCGGTCGAAGAACGGTGAGACTAAAAGAAGCCCAAGGACGAAGTCCTACTGCTGACCACAAGAGGTGTGACAACAGTAAGGTGTTCCCTCGGATAACCAGCATCTGCAACGATGCTGCCTTCTCACGAGAAAGGAAGGGGCAAGAAAATGCCGACCTCAAATATATTACATCTCACTTTACCCCACGAATTTCCATCTCCGATGGTAAGGCCTTCTGAAGTAGAGAGCTAAAACACCAATTTTTATGAAAAAAGATCGTGCGAGACCGATCTCGAGCAGTTGTCTTCTGGGCTCTGAAGTTACGCTCTCAGGTCGCTAAGACAATTACTAATTCAGGTCCCTCAAATAAAACCCTTCCACAGTGTGGGCGGCGACCGGGAATTAACAACCGCCCTCACACTTCTATCAGCACCCAAAATCACCTTGTTGACTATCACATCCCTCCCTGACATTTTAATAAACCTTGTATCCCTACGACTAACCCTCTTTACTTAACCTTACCACCATGCACCAGAAATGTTAATAACTAGAATTCACGAAATATTATTCCTGGTCTCCTAAAACCGCTCTCTAAACTGAATGATAAAGCTTTTAATGTCCGACTGAAGACTGTCGATCATTCTGGAGCACATTTTTTAGACTCAAACCATGCTTTAATTCGAGCATGTATTTGTTTGTGTCTTACGGGACGTAGAAAGGTCACAAAAAGAAAACCCTTAGGGTGCAACTTAATTATGAAAAAGTTGAGAATACATTTCAGAATCAGCAAGAGGAGCTGCTTAACCTTATAAATAGCTTGGTATGATAACCAAAAAGCTGCAGAAACAGCGGTAATATATACTAGTAGCTTAAACCAAAAGATTGGGAAAAATCAGTGGATTTCATAGGTGTCTACAGAACTGATAAATACTTGAGAACTCACCCCGTCTGGCTCAGAACATGATGAAGAGCTGAGACAGCTTAAGTGTAGGTTGATAGAAAACTTATATGATGATCGTGAGTAGTGGTGGGCAGCGAAAGCAGAAGAGATGGAAAAGGCAGCAGCGATAGGTAACAGTAAACAACTGTTCACACTTATCAAGGAAGCGCGTATTAAAAATACGATGTATAGGAAAAAGTCGAGACTATTGTTCTTTCTCGATCCAGGAGGTTGAACCGAAGAGCAGAACACTCTAAAGAACAGTTAAACTGGCCTTCAGTTACCCACTATCTCTAAGCAATCTGAATGCCAAACTGACGTAAGCCCTTCAACTCTTAGTGAGGTTGAAAAGGCTAATCTAAAGCAAGGGACAGCAACGGAGCTTGATGGACTAACCCCTGAAATTTTTAATAATGGCAGTTCAGTTTTAGCAGTTGGATAAACTGAAATCTTAGCTAAGTTATGGGAACTGGACGTAACCCCATATGACTAGTCTTAACCGTCCCAATTTATAAGGAAAAACAAAAATCCTCTTGTGACAATCACGGAGGAATCAGTTTAACTAATGTAGCGTCTAAAGTATTAGCCACAATAATACTTCGATGTTTAACTGGAATTCCCGAAGAGCAAACTCGAGAAAACCAGTTTGATTTCAGACCTGAATGTGGATATATAGACCAAATAATCGCCTTTCAGCAGATTCTGGAATATAGACATACTTTACGACGTCCTACCATAGTTGTATTCCTTGACTTTAAGGCAGTGTTTGACTCTGTTGATCGTGAGGCTTTATGTCATTGTTTGTCATTGAAAGACGTACCAAAGAGGTATATTAATCTTTTACAGGCTATCCACTCGAACACCTCTGGTCGAGTCAGAGCTTATGGTAAACATTTAGTGCCCCAGTATCTGACTCCAGTTAGATTGTTTGCTGATTGCTGTCGAAATATACATGCCGCCAATCCTCGTATATAATTATCGAATTAAATCGTGTTAGGGAATAAGAGGATTAAATAAGTCGAATAAAAGAATGAATTATGAACTCTCATATTTCATACAATCATGGATCTGGACATACAATCAAGGAAACGAAGTGGAAAAAGAAAAGAGAAGAGCAAAGCGAAACGAAATGATGCTCAATGGAGAAGGCAAGTGAGCCAACATGATTTAACTAAGCGTGAATCTATATTTATAGTCAGATAAAAATAACCTACAGACATGTAACGAGTAGGGTAAGCAATGTATACACACCCTCACATAAAAACGATCAAGGCTGACAAGTGAATAAGTGACAAAGTGAAAATTTGGCTTGAGAAGAATGAATAGACTGGTCTGTCCAGGGGCTAGAATAACCTATGTGGGCTTAACATAGTACCAGCCCCTACAAACTATCATCGGAACTGGTTACTTCAAGCAGCGTTCGTCAGGGTCGTCTGTTTTCTCAATATTTGTTTAACTTCGTCACAAATATGCATTTGGAAACAACAATTCCATCGTCTGATTCTTCAAGCGTTGGTCTTCTACCAAGATTTACTTGTTGACCTAGATTATGCATATGATATAGTACTGTTTGAAGACACTGCCAAAATGCAGTCTTCTGACCACCTTAAACAACACTACAACCATATTTGGGATGTGGTTTTCTCCCCCAAATGAAAAATGTTACTTCAGGACTAGCGGGTATCAGTGCCTGAATTGATGATAGGGAATGAAGTAGCTGAGCGTATTGACAACCTCACTTATCTTGAAGATCCGGTTAGTCCCGGTGAACTCGTGTCTGACGAAACACCGGCACCGATTCAAAAATCTCGATTGGGTTTTGCCAATATGCGTTACTTGTGGCGTAGGTGAGGTATCTGTTTACCAACTAAAACATGAGTTTACTGCACGGCAGTTCACTCAGTTCTGCTTTGTGAATTTGAAACACAGTTGTTAGGAGTAGAGGTTACCATTATTGGAACATAGGTGTCTTAGAAGCATTGTTTGTGTATTTTGGGACCACCGAGTAAGCAATGGCTAGGTTAGGAATAAAGCAACAGGAAAACCAGTTGATGAGGTAGTCAACCTTCATTAACTGAGTTGGTTGGGACGTGTTACATATGCCTATCAACCGCCCACCACGACGGCCGATGTTCTCTGGTGTAGGGGTAGGCATGAAGAGAGCTAGGAGAGGTCAAACTAAAGCATGGCATTAAATCATCAAGTCTTTAACAGTTGAACTGAGCCATTTTAGTGCATACTACCTTGTTGGGGTCCGCGTGACTATCGTAACCAATGGTAAGAGACTGAATTACATGGCTCAAAATCGTTCTCAATGGCACAGGTGCATCCATTCCCGTCTGTTGCTGCTATCTTGACGTGATGGTCGGGCTTGCCTATCGTAATGAGCAAATCGAGCTATACTGGCTGAAGCAATCGTTTCTCAAGGTCCTACTATACCAGACAGGTTGATTGAAGAGCGGTAAGATTGAAAGCAACCAAATGATTCATCTAGTAGGTCGTTAAGACTTATTACGACCGGTATGCTTTGGAATGATATTCATATCATTCCAATATATATTAAGTGAGAATATACTGTACCGAAGTACTTCCGTAAGTTGAATAAAAAATAAGGTTATTTTGACTACGCATCTGTACATCTAATGAGTAAATGGTCATCTGCTCAAAAACTTGCTCCTTTTATAGTTAATAGTAAAATAAAAAATCAGTGGCATTAATGAACATGAATAAATCAATTTACTGTAAACTCTAAAAGCCGAGAACCCTAGTGAAGAATTAAATCGTACAAATGAATTCTATCCAATGATCAGTAGAAGTGTGATGAAAAGATAGTGCATTACAACTAGCCAAAATTGCATGGCTTGTTTACTTGAACTATCTTGCTTTAAGTATCCTAACTGATACTTACTAGGTGATTTTTGGGTTGTGATTATGGACATGCTGTTTAACAAAACATGTAATTGATAAAATAACTATACATGTGTAAACATGATGCTTAGTAACTTAACGTCAATATGACGTAACAAACGAACCGGTAAAATGACTTTACCTGTTGACACATTAACATCTAGTCTAGGGTATGTGAAATTTAAGACTATTTCCTTCAAAACATTTGCGCGACCATTTTCTTTCAAAAACTTTCTTAATGTGTTCCATCTTTTTGTAGATACTTCTTCTTTGCTTTCTTGAGTATCGGTAGACCACTCATCTAAAAGTCGTTCACGAAGATCTTTTAACTCAACCGGTAAAAATGACAGTAACTTATCCAGACGTTTTTTATTTCCGAATAAATTTTGACCATTTGTTGTACTGCAATAAGTTGCGAATCGAGGCATCAATATATCACAAGCTGCATCCACACAAGGATGAAAAATTGGCTCAATATTCCCATGTGAATGTGAATCATAAGATTTTGAGAAGTTACCAGCAGTAAGTGTGGGCTAATTGAAAAGTGTAATGAATATAAATCTATAAGGTTATTTCGAAGTTATTTCAACAATTTTTTTAATTCGAATTAAGCACTTCATTAAAAACAAATCGCACAATATACATTTAGTGATATAAAATTTTTAAAAAAACACAAAATGAGCAAACAAAAATACTAACAATGAGGAAAGTAATAGAGTGAGATTTTAGAAACTAGAAATATTATCATAACATCCAGGTATAGTCGTAGCTACATTTTGGTTGAGAAAGTCAAGAAAGGTCAGTAGTGTGACATGAAGACCGAGATCCTTTAATCACCCTACGTGGATGCACATGAATACCTACTAAGCGTATAAAGGACAATATCACTCCGAACAGGGAGACCCGATGTGTAATATGTCTATCTAGAGATATCACAATAATATTAATCTGACAGTAAAAGACCAAATGTTGAACACTTTGGTGTAAACGTAATGGTTTAATTGCACCATCTCTGCCCAGGTTGATAGATCATGACCATGTAATTCAGTTATATGAAAACTAACTAGACATAGTTAATGACAGGAACGAATTTTCTTTTACGTTCTTCACTAGTAGTAAGATAACGTTTAAAAAGCGAATATAATTTGATTTTTATGACCACCCCTAGTGCCATTATTCCTGTTAGTACATTTCTAGCTTCACACTTTTTTATAAAACCCTCGCCACTTCTATAAAACATCTACTGTTGCTTCAATAAACCAAGCTCATTAGTTCTAAAGAGTCAAATACGTTTAGGGCTAGAATATTTTGGTTGGTCCATCAAGCTATGAACACTGAGGAGCCATCATTCACTCTGTTTTAACTGCTGATCCTACGAACTGTAGCAATTAGTTTTGAGTAGGTAAAAAAAAATTACTGTGAACAGAAACAAGGATAGTTATATGTGAGAAAGCATGTAAACGATTTTTGATGCATTCTTGGTAAAATATATGTTTTAACAATTACCTAAAGTCACCTATTTTTCGGCTATAAACCTTACGAAAAAATTCATGCGAAACAATCTGGTATGCAGAAAGGCGAAAGTAGAGGAGAGTTCGAATCCTTTTGTGCACCAAACAAGAGTATTAATTTAATAGTCTCCTCAGCATAACTCCTAATAAAACAATCTCTCAACATTCTTCATTAACTTTTCACACGTAACGAAAAGCAAACATAAAAATTTAACCAAGGTCAGTAGCGTTCGTGTTTCAACCTTAAAATGTTGAATATCAAATCTAATAATAACCGACTGACTGGTATTTTATACTAATTAAATGTGTCAGCCTTAATATTGTTCTTTGTAATCTTAATAAACACCACTATTGAAAATACAAGTGTGGTGTTTATAAGCATTTCTTCTAAAGTCAAAGTCTACACAATAAGAATTAAAAATGGTAGAATTACCTTCTTACCGTTACCCCCTCTAACCAAAGTTAAATACTCCGCGATAGCTGTACGCGAAGTTTGATCTAAATGCCGAGCGGAACGATCACATACCCAGCAATGAACTCCACGACGACCTGAATACACCCACAATAAATGCTGGAACCCAAAGTCTTCTCTTAAGGCACGGTCGATACAGAGGACTGCAGAACGAGCAAGTTGCCAGCAGCAAAGGCAAATAGAAGATCCAGAAGTACTTTGTTCACCACAACAATAACGAACTTCATCATAATCAGTCAAATCAATATCGAAAACTAATTCTTTCCATTCAGGCTAATTATAAAAGAAAATCATACGCATATGTATAAGGTTTACAGCGATAATTGTGCTCAGCTCCATGTGATCTGTACTTCTAAGTCATACAAGTGTTTAAGGTTTTGTGTTTCAGTAAAAACAGATACATAACTGTCAAGCAAAACCATATATTACTATCACAAGCGGTGATAATTTCCATTTTTAGCCGACTGTTTATTATATGGTATAAGGACCTTGATTTCAATCACTGAATTACAGCCCGATATCTCCCTCAATGATCCCAATACAAGTACAAGATTAGTGTTTTAGCCCAGAAACAAAGTTCCAAATTTAGAAATTGAACCTGTAACTGAAATATCAACTACAAAGACGAATATTGGGTATCACAGCAAACATGAAATCTGAGTGCATACAAAAAAATGCGTGCACAAGTTATGAAGCAGCTCAACTTTCTTCAGTTTTGCGTGCAGAATAAAAATCCTGCAATGGTTTGATTGACTTAAACGTTCTGGATTGTTTTTTGTTGTCGTGATTCATGTATAAAAAACTTCACTTTCAATTATCAATGCCAATATATGCTTGGTAAACATGAATGTCGAATCAGACCAAGAACTAATTAACACATTTATGGTAAGTACAGAACCGTGAGCCAATACCGAGATGGGAGGTTTGTTTGAAAAGTCAAAAATATCATGATGACATGAACTGAGAGTCATTGGTCATCAAATACCGTCACGTAGAATAAAACGAGGAAAAAAAAGTGGTTAGCAGAAACTTTATTTTGCACGTTTATTCAGAAAGGACAAACTAGTTAACAGGCACACAACCGCGTTATTACTACCAGCCAACAAAAATGAACCAACTTTGTCACAGACCAAAGAGAATTAAAGCCATGAAACGTAAGTGCCTCTGTCTAGTTTCCGTTCATAACTATAAAAATGGAATTACGAAATAACCTGTCAGCTTATTAAACCAGAGCCTGATGGGTGTTCTTTTTTTCAAAGTAAATGTCACCGCTTGTATCTTCAGGCAAAACGTTCTTATTTGATTTGCTTTCAGTAGAAATAAACTTGCAAAATGAAAACCAAGATAAAAAATAATGGCTTGAAAAAGTTGATCATCCATCGATTCAATGCAAGCTACATCCGTGAAAAAACAACTGCAATCATCACAGCGTAGCAGCTTACTAAAAGCAAGATTTTCTAAGCGAATGGTAGTGACAAGTCGATCTGACAAACAACAAATCTTTCGAGAATGGTGTGATTAAGTAGCTGTTTTATAAACCTCAGTATACCGAGAACTCCGAATTGACATCACTAACTGTTACAAATCAGTCGTAAACGATCTGATCTGAAGGACTATACACACTAGCTACCCAGGCGCAAAACGGTCCTATAAGACAACCAAATGAGATAATCAACAAAACACTGAGAAAGTTTACCTTGAGTGAAGAAGATAAAATTGAACGATGAAGCCTGGGAGAAGTTGAGTAAACTGCCCCAATATCAATCTTAATAGGGCATAGCTTGACTAGATCCTTCCTAAGGTCCGACGACGAATCAAAACTCTGATATCTAAGATAGATATCACCATTCAGTGTGAAACTGAATTCTCTTTTAGAAAGCTACGAAGATTATATAACACAATTTACCCCACTACTTCGAGAATTATATGTAAGCCACTGTGCGAATAGATCACATGGGAAAAGTCTTCGGTAGTAGATCCTCAATAACTCCTCTGAAAATGTAGATTCCATTTGAATCAAATCCTGAACATGATTTTTCCAAGGTCAATCTGCTTTTAGTATCTCCACTAAACGACATATTGAACGGGAAGAAATTGATCCGCTTTTTATTCCCCTTACCTGATAGTTTATTGTGGTATTAGTTCAAAACCCTGGAAATAAGCAGTGCAGTTGTTGTACACATGTGAATTTCGGTTTTTACATCAGAAATGCTTGTGAAACCATAAATATGGCAAATTACTGTACTAAATATTAGAATGACGATACTATCAGAGAGATGATATCTTGGTAGACATTAAACGTAATCTGCCATCTTTTGTTGTTTTAAAACTCTTTCAACAAAATGTTGAATTGCTCAATTTCAATTGTGAATTTTCCTATAAATATGACTTCCGAACCAAATCTGAACCTTATCTGATCCCAAACTAATTATAGAATCGACGATTGACGTAGAGTCTATCTAATAATCAGGATCTTACTACACTGATAGATAAAGTCTAATATTTCCTCTCTGTAAGTCGTGATGGATGCTATTTCGCTCGGAGTTGTTTTATCTCGTTTATGTCTTTGTTACAATCGTTGTTGTTCCAGCTGGCCTTAATATCCTTGACCATACCACATACCGCCGACTAGTATTCACTTACCAACTCTACCCTAGGCTTTTCCTTTCCAGCTTTTCCAAGTTGTATTCATTCTTTTGATGTCTTTCTCTAATTCCCTTCACAATATGTTCCTCGGTCTGCCTCTTCTCCATCACACTTCGCGACTCCAAGTTAGCACTTGTTTCGTGACACAGTTTGAAGATTTCTATAACGTATGTCCTGTCCACATTCAACGTCTTTTCTTATTTTCTTCTTGTGCTGGAAGCTGGTTTGTTCTCTTCCACAGTAGATTTCTGTTGATCGTACCCAGTCAACGGATATTGTGTTTCTTGATCAAACAACTGTTTACAAATACTTGTACCTTTTTGATTATGGTTGTGGTAATTCTCCAACTTTCAGCTCCGTACAGTAGAACCTTATGGACGTCCACATTGAACATTCTCACTATGATGTTGGTTGAAATTTGTTTTGTCCTCCATATATCATTCAACTGTAGGAATGCTGCCCTAATTTGCCACATCTTCCAGAGTTTCTCCATAAAATGTGATTGAGTTAGTGCTCGCTGTGTTCTGTTTGAGGATCTTGCTTTTTCCATTGTGTATGTTGAGACCCACTTCTTCAGAGGCTGCTGCCACATTGGCTATCTTTACCCTAATTTGTTGATGTGTATAGGATAGAGGAGCTAGGTCAACTCCAAAATCCAAATTGTCTAGTTTTATCTAAGCTGTCCATTGTATCCCGTGCTTCCCCTCAGATTTGGCGGTTTGTATAACCCGGTCGACCACTAGAAGCCTTATATGACACTGACCTTCATTTGAAATGAATCCGTCAGCTGTCCTTCATTCGCGAATTTGCAGATTGGTCCATCACATGAATTCTGGATGATATTTCCTATCTTTTCAGGTACTCCATAGCATAGAAGAATATTCCATAATGTTCTCTTAGTCACGTTGTCAAATTTCCATATCACTATTTCACTAATTGTTTAAAAATGATCCGTTGTGCCGCGATTTTGTCTGTGCACGACCAAGCCCAACGGAATCCAGCCTGTTCATCTCGAAGTTGGACGTTTACATGTTGTGAACAGGAAAACAAGAAGCCCTGACAAACTACGAAAGCCATTTTTCGGGACGGTATTCCATTTTATTCAAAGCTTGTAAAACACTGACATTTATTTTTGTCCTTAATCTATTTTACAGGACATAAGCTTACGTTCGATGTATGATTCATTGCCATACCCTTTTTGTTCCGAAGCTATTGTAATATAAACATAATATTTTGCACCCTAATTTCTACTCTAATTCCCAGGTTTGGACATCATTGTATTTTTCCTAATTATTGTACGTTGTGGTCGGGTTATTCACTTATCTATTCATGTGTCTTTTTACACTAATCCGAACTAAAATCAGGATATCGGGAATAGATCAAGCAGTGTTCCAGTTGTCTTGTCTTCCCTCATTAGCGTGCCTGTTATCCAATGAGGTGATAGAATAGTTTTCTTTCTACCCCACTTCGAACCCACGCGTACTAGCCTCAAGGTTAGGTCGATCAGCCTATCGCGCCAAGGCCTTAATCTGAATTAGATAAGTATTCTCAGCACCAAGAGTGGGTAGACATGTAGTGGCATTGGACAATAGCCACACAATCCACAAAGATGTGAACACGAGACTACTCAGAAAATAGATATTCAGTATTTAACTCGGGGAAATACCTTACAATGGAGAAGGCGCGGAGAGTGAATTGAATGGACTGGAGTTGATCGAGTGGCATGGCTCCGCCATGCAGGCGTGGTCTCTGCTGAATGTTACCTTATATCTTCTATTCATATTAAATATATTGTTCTTTCTCTAGCCTAACCTTGTTCTACATCATGTATTGGTAATTGATGCGATACAGTGAGTTGGTGTAGTCGATGGTGTGACTTCCACCTAAGATCTTATAGATTAGGCAGTTATATCACGACAAATCTACAAATTTAGGATTAGGTCTATTGTTAGAGCAGTACTAATATCATAGTAGACCATAATTTTACAGACAGACCAAACCACATAACACTACTGAACCTTTCATTCGGTTCTGCAACACTTTGTTGAAAACCTTTCCTGTTACTTACATCAATGTGATTCCTCTAAAGTTCCCACATTTGCTGAGACCTCGTTTATTTGGTATCTTGATGAAATATCCTCAACATTCGTCATCAATTTCCAACGAAAAACGACTTTCCAAAAATTCGGTCTGATTTAGAAAAACGATCCATATATGAATAACCATTTTCTCACAGGTAATTTTACCACGGTCTTCAAGGGTTTTAATGACATTGAGGTCTTAATCACATGTGTTGTTTGCACCTGGCAAAATAAGATTTACTCCCATTGCGATCCCAACAAAAGTAAGCGTATGTAGTTTTGTCAATCGCTATTCAGCATGAAATGATTGTTAAGTCATCTTTCATTGCTTGTTGATCGATCATTTCACGCTTTTTTAGGCTTATTGATTTACCGGTTCATTGAGTTGCAGATTTACTGTAATTTGCGTTTCGTACTAACATTAACGGGTTCGAATAGTACAAATCAGTTATCCATCAATGTGTGTGCGCAGGAAGTGAGAGACTGATTTTAAGGCTTTGGAGATGTTACATATTCACAGTACTTGACAACGCTATTGTCCTTAACTTCTTTTAACTTGAGGAACCCAAATCAAGTCGAAACAGAATCCAAAAATTAAGAGGTTCGGAGGTGTATTTGGAAAATCATCCATCAGTCAAAAAATAAATGATCTAAACAAACACTTCGTTATAAGAGGTGTGCAACAAAGCGTACTCAGACGTAATTCTGCGCAAATGTTTGACCGAGAGCCTTTAACTAAGATGTGTCCAGCAAAACTAATGAGGTCAAGACTGGTGTTGAATACTTGTAAGACTACTTATCCTGACGAATTATTTACCGCTACAGCTTTTATGCTTGCGAAAATTGTGGGCAGCTTTCTACTTTGTGCAACAACGTTTGATTGGTGACTTTCCTAAATTATTAGAATCCATCTGTATAGAGACGCAGTTTGGATTACGTAGATGTTACTATGAATTATAAAGAATCCCATTTTCGGTAAGGACGTAATTATGAAGTCAGACGTTTTATTTATATTTCCTCTGCTCTTCAGTTTGGTCTTCCGATGGTAAACTTTCCACTTCCATTCGCTGCTACATACTACGTATGTCTGTCCACTCAAATAACACACACCACACGGGCTGCTGCTAATGAAATCAACCGTAGTTGATCTACGGATATGATAATACAGAAACAAAGGGCAATCAATTGTGTGTCTCAAGGTGGATTGGATCTGAATGATGAAGAGAAAGTTTAAGTTAGAAGCGGAAAAGCGCATCGAATGAGAGAAGCGTTCAGAAATACTAATAACTATATATTTTTTCATCACAATTCTCACTCGCTTATCATATAATGGCGACCACCAGATCATAGCGTAAAAAACTGAGTTAGCGTGTTATATGTCGTCTCGGCAATATAACGAAGCCAGCACACATTTTCAAATATAGGTATGGGTGGCGAGAGTAGAAGAACAATCTGACTATCGCTGATTGACTACCCCGTTCCCACTTATAAAAAGCCTGAAACAATATGATCTGCCCCACAAACATAGGTAAACTGAAGTCATATCCCTCACTATCAATGCTCGCTGATCATTCACACCACCCTCCCTTCTTTTGTGATGTTAGGCTGATTAAAGTTTATATTTAGATAAATTTTCCTGATATCGGAGTATAAAATAACTAATAGTTGCCTTTAGTCACGTATGCGAGTAACCTCGTTAAAGAAGTCTATCAGGATTTTGATAGGCTGCTGGATTATATATTGTTAACAAATTTTCTGGCACCCTGTCACTATGCTCTTGAGAAGGTATACTACTGCATCGAACACAAACTGACTACATAAAGTAGATTCGATAACAAAACTGATGGTACAGGTGATGTCGTTATAATATGGTTCGACATTTCTGATTTCCATGTCAAGTATCTATCGTTGGTTCTATCGACCATCATAGAAATTAAGTGTTTGATCATCCCAGAACGGACTACTTCACGCCACCGTAAAACGTTTTCTTTTAGAATACAAAATGTCCAATTGCGGTCGTGTAGGGTTTTACAACTTTGTCACCCCTTTCCTATGTTGCAGCAAAAATTGAACCATTTTTCCATTTGCCTGGCGAACTAGAACTCGAGTAAGAATTCCAAAATCAGGATTAAGTTCGGCTCACAAGTTACTCAGTATTAGGGTTTGAAAAGTACCATTCAGCCTATAGGTAAACTCATGTGTACAAAACATACAGTTTGAGTGATTAATAATCTCAATTGTTTGAGGTAAAATAATACTTGTGCCAGAGGAAATGCAATATGCACTAGAATTTTACTGGACCTAAAGGCATTTGGGCTTAATGGTCGCCCAGGTCCAGGTACCTTGGATGATCCGAATGGATGGTAATTCCACAACTTGAATACGACCTAACTTAAAATATTTCATTCGGGTAGCTGGTGAACGTTATTTTTACTATTAAAAGTTTTCGAGGAGGCACTCTTTAGAAGGTAAAACTTTCTAATCTGCTTTATGTGGGTTGATAAAAAAGAATATACACTATCCACGAAAAAGGCTCGAAC